GGGGAAAGCAATGTGCAGGATTAAAACACAAACAAACATACAAAATCTATATTTTGTAGCATACCTTGCAGTTAAATATAACAATATGACTACGCTCCAGTCAATAGTTTGTAAAAAAAAAAAAAAAAAAGTATTTGAAAGGGACCTTCTGCAAGGTCCCTTTAAAAGTGTAAGGAATGTTTGCTTCATTTTCTCTTTATTCCTACTGCCTGGAATATACAAGTCATTGCTCGAGCTGCATAAGCCATATTTTTGACCTTGATAATAACGACAGCCAGAAGCCAAGAAAAGTGAAGCTGAAAGACAAAAGTGCCTGATTCCCTGGTGACTTTGTGAAGCTGTCATAACAGTTCTAGACTGCCCATTCGCAGGCTCACTTTATGGAGACAGTAAACTCCCAATTTGTTTTAACTGCCACAGTCAAGTCTCAGAATCTTATAAAGGTACATTGGAATCACTCTGTGAAAAAAGTTGTTACTGGATTACTGTCTCAGCTATTTTTTAAAAAAATGGCATCCAACATATTTTCACTGGATGGTCCCATATACTTCTCTTTCATACCTCTTTCCTAAGTTGCAGAACCAAAGACCCAACTTCCCCTAAACCCTTCTCCTTGGATGTCCCTTAGTCACTTCAATTCAACAAGCAAAACCTGAATGAGTTTCCATACTCACTGTAACATGGTCTTCCTTCTATATATACTGTTTAGTTAACGATGCCGTTGTTGACTAAGTAAACTATTTAACCTCCAAACCTTTAGGAAATTCTTAATTCTTTCCTCTTTTTCACCCTTAGCATCCAATGGATAATTGACTCTAAACATATTTTCCTCAGAATTGTTCCTTGTATAGATACACTCCTTTCCATTCTCATCAATATTGTCTTAGGTAAGTTCTCACTGTTTCTCTCTTAGACTAATTTTATTATTATTATTATTATTATTATTATTATTATTATTATTCTTTAAGTTCTGGGTTACATGTGTAGAACCCATGTTCTACACATGATGCACCCATCAACCCATCACCTACATTAGGTATTCCTCCTAATATTATCCCTCCCCTAATCCCCACCCTCTGACAGGCCCTGGTATGTGACATTCCCCTCCCTGTGTCCATGTGTTCTCATTGTTCAACTCCCACTTATGAGTGAGAACATGTGGTGTTCAGTTTTCTGTTCCTGTGTTAGTTTGCTGAGAATGATGGTTTCCAGCTTCATTCATGTCCCGGCAAAGGACATGAAGTCATCCTTTTATATGGTTGTGTAGTATTCCATGGTGTATCTGTGCCACATTTTCTTAATCCAGTCTATCATTGATGGATATCTGGGTTGGTTCCAAGTCTTTGCCATTGTGAATAGTGCTGCAATAAACATCTTAAACTAATTTTTAAAAGTCATTCCTAAATAGGCCTCAATCCTCTAGTCCCTTATCTTTCTAATCTATCACTTCCCTGTCTAAAAAATGTTAGCTTTGAAATGCATAGATTTATTAATGCCCATCTCAAACTAAGAAATTGTTAATTACTCTCAATTGCCTACAGGGTAAAATTAAATTATAAATGATCCTTTCAAAACATTCCCAGTTTCCTTTACAAACTTTTGCTCTACTCGCCCACCCACCCTTATTCCACAACACACACACCAAGAGTACCAAGTAAAGTTGTTTTCAGTCACGTCAGACTGCCTGCCATGTCTGTAACATGCCATGTCTTCCCTATCTCTGTTTTATTTCAGTTGTCCCCTCTATCTCAAATCCTTTCCCTCTCCTCCTCCTGTAAGTACACATTTGTTTTCTACTTATTAATCAAGACCCAAAGCAGATTTGAGCGACTTGCGAAGCTTTCTCTTACCTGCTCTGCACATCAAATAAATTATTTCCTCACATGCTATACACGTACATTTGTACATACCAATATTGTATGGTTTATTACAGTGTTCTGGAGTCTTTTTTGTATATTCAGGTACATTTTAGGTTTCTTATTTTTTTATGCATTTCAGTATCTTAAGGATATTACCATATAATCATCTTTACATCCCTCAGATGTACTACTATGCCTTGCACAGAGAGGGGCTCAATTCATAGTAATGGATTTGAATGAACTACATATACTTTGTCTCTATACAGGTAAAACATGCAACTTCAAGATGAGTGCTTGCAATACAGATGTAAGAATGATTGGGGAATAATTTTAATTAAATGGTGTATTATGACAATATCTTTCAGGTTATTTTATTTTATTAATTCATCTTCTTTATCCTAAACCTTCACACCTCAGACCCAGAACAGAACGTACTGCCCGTTCACTATAGAAATGCATTCCATTCATACCTACTTATTTTTAACCCACTATATTAGGTAAAGCAATGTTTCGTGAACCTAATCGTGGGATGACAGCTTTATTTAGTAAACTTTGAATAGTCTGTAGTTTTGAATACCACATTTCTGTAATTTTTAGTGTCTCTCTGCTTTGGAATCACGCTCGCCATTTTTCAAGAGATCTTATAGCAAAATGATAGATTAGATCTTCTTCTGAATTTAAAGAATAGGAACAAGACAGGAACTCAGGGTCACTGAGAGATTAAAGTAAGTGTGCTTTGGCATGCATAAATGAAATGTATTTAGAAAACTTTCTAGGATCTACCTGCAAACAGATGGCAGTAAGATATGCAAAAGGGGGAATGCTTTCTTTTTTCAGATTTATTTTTTTCTAATGGGGAATAGTGAGTGAGATGATGACAAATAGTTTTGGATTTGCAATGCTATTCCTCATTTTACATAATGACTCAGCTTTCAAATTGTAAATCATGGATTCTAAATAGCTCCTGCTTAATCTATCTGTAATATATGTAAAGTTCATGAATTTGAATCATCATACCAAACAGGAAAGAATACAAACTCAGTTTATATGTAGAAAGGAAATTGTATTTTGGAAGGATAATTAACGCCAATAAATTTTAACAGCTATGCAGAGGCTGAACTTCTACCAAATGTTTTTTGAAAGCGTAGCTTCAGACAATATGAAACAGTGTATATTTGAAAAATAAAATTTATATGAAATTTAGACCTTATAAAGCATGATTAGTGTGTGAAAATGACAAAAGTAAATGGAAGAGTTTATCCTCCAAATGAATATACTTTTTTACATGTTTAACGTAGTATGATGTTAAATGAGAAAATGAAGACTGGATGTTTAATAAGCCAAAAGGAACACACAGAAGTTAAAAATATATATACATATTAATACATATGCATCTATACACACATATATGCTGTGTGTATCTACATAAATGTATATATACATACATGTATGTATATGTGTCGATACACACGCATGTTCCTGTTTGCATGGCTTGTGACTAAGTAAAATGCATTTTTCTTTGAAAAGGGACAGGGCACTAGTAATACACTGACTGTGTTTATGTGGGATTTTTGATAAAATTTGAATATCAAAGACACTATTTTTCCCCCTTTAACCACCACTGGAATAAAATGCTAGAATGCAATACCATCTTATCATTTCCAAATTATTCACTTTTGACTTGTGTTTTTCAGTTTCATCACAGATTCAGTGTTGTCTCTCTGAACAGAGAAAACATAGACCTTTTAAGGTAAACTCAGCTCTGACATTTACTAGTATGACATTTGGGAAGCTATATAACCCTTCCTAAGTTTACTTCTTTATATATTAAAGAAAACAGAACAAATAAATAAGTGATCCATCTGGCATGTTATTGTGAAGATTAACATAAAATATTGGCAAGAGATAGAGAGTCACTATTGGTTTCCTCCCCTTTACTTTTTTTTTTGAGATGGAGTCTTGCACTGTCGCCCAGGCTGGAGAGCACTGGTGTGATCTCGGCTCACTGCAACTTCCACCTTCTGGGTTCAAGTAATTCTCATGCCTCAGACTACTGAGTATCTGGGATTACAGGCATGCACCACCACACCAAACTAATTTTTCTATTTTTAGTAGAGACAGGGTTTCACCATGTTGGCCAGGATGGTCTTAAACTCCTGATCTCAAGTGATCCAGATGCCTCAGTCTCCCAAAGTGCTGGGATTATAGGCACGAACCACCGTGACCAGCCTCTGCCCTCTACTTTTGATGGTGATCCTTTGCTTGTGTTTTCATAATTACGTCCTCTTTCAGAACATTAACTCATTGAGAGAATGTCCAATGCCAGGATATAGAGGCCCTATATATTACACATATACAGATATACTAGTGTAACTAAAAAAACTTTTCTCAGAAATACAAATTCCCAGAATATTTATAATGTTCCACTTAAACTTAAATTTATAATCTTGGTCCATGTCCTTTTCAAAGTCACTGATAACTGAATCCAATATAGATATCAAATATTATTTTATTACCATTTCTTCTCCAGAGAAATGATCTACTGCTATTAAAAGATGAGTAGAAAAGTTATACATTAGTTCTACCATGGTAATTTACAGCAGCTTAAAACTTAGGGCCACCAAAGAATTTATGAAATTTCCTCCAACTCTAATAAATTCTATCATACTCCAGTTCTGAAAATATATATGGAAATGAAAACTCTCAAGACATGAACATTTATGTTATAAAAAGAAATAGGGGGAAATGAATATCAATTAATAGCAGTGAAGCAATCTTTATATTAATTTGCAATTCCACATGCATTTATTTTAGAAAAATTACAGGATTCATTTCGGAGTTCCATCTATACACATTCTGAAGTCAGGCTTTAAATTAACATGCATTTCTCATCCAAATGGCTTATAAAACGTGATTTACTCTTTAATCTCTGAAGTAAATAAAAACAACATTTTAAACCTTTTTTAAAGATATCTGCCAAGATTTCCTGCTAGTTTAAATACATGTGCTTTTAATAAAAACTCCAATTTAGTCTTTCTAAACTAATTTTACCTAAAAGATTTGGTCATGTAAGCAAGGGTGTAGTTACTCTGTTTCAAGCATCTCCCACCTGTGATCATGTACATGCTAGGCGGTACTCACAGCTGACATGATGAGCTCTCCTCCCAGGTTCTGGATCTCAGCTTTAACCTGACTGCAGATTTTCAGTTGGTGGGAGTAGAACTTAATCTGTTCCAGGTAGGCCAACAAGTCTTGTTTGCAAGATGGATCTGGGCACTAAATATGCATCGAAGATAAAAATGGATATAGCAGAATAAATAATAGGTAGATCAAAGTGAGTAAAAACAGTATTCACATGGCAGGTACCTTATAAGGCAGCAATTTTATTTTCATAGCGCAACATTTCTCGGCTCAAGTCCAAGTAGATTCTGATATGCTTCTACCATTATAATAGTTTGTTCATTTTGCAACCTTAGTTACTTCAGCTTAGCCAAAAGAAATGTTAAAATACTTTTTAGACATGAAAAGGTAAATAAAATAGCTGCCTTTAATTTATGATAAAGGTTACAAGCCTTCAGATTATATTTTTAGGTAAATCTAAAGAAATATTTAAAATGTAATTATTTCTTTCACCTAGAATTACTATTAGAATACTCCTAGAATTACTATTACAATGCTCCTTGAGACTCATGGTTCTGCATTGCCTGTCCTTTGCTACTCAAAAGGACATAAAAACATGCAGCAACATAATATGTTCTATTACTTCCAGCATTCAATGTTCTTAACTGTTATAGACAAAGGAAATCATTTCTACCTTAGATAACAGGTGTGAATCTAACTGAAGCCAAGAAGCAGACAGGGCACATGTTTTAGAATATTAAATTTCCTTATGAAAACCAGCCTCCTGCATCATTTTATCTTTTGGAAGGAACTTCCTGGAGGACAGCTTTGAGCTTTATCATAACATGGTAAATAGCTTTGGTTAAGATTTAATCTTTGTGTTCTTTCTCCTATGCAATTATAATAGATTTATAGAAATCCCTTCTGACTTAATTCCACTTTTAGTAAATTTTTATAAGAATAAGGAAATGTGGACAGTGATTTATATCCAAAGATCTTCGTTGTAGCATTATGTATAATAGCAAAATTTGGAAATAACCTAAATTCCCCAAATAATGGAAAGACTAAATAAGAATGACTATCAATATAATGTAGCATTACTCAGTCTCAAGAAAATAGAGTTTCAAAGGATGCAGGAATATGTTTTCGGAAGTTAGAAAAATAACCTGTAAACATTGCAATCAAATTCTATTAAAAATTGTGTGTATTTAAAACATGCTGAATGCCAGATGCAGTGACTCATGCCTATAATCCTAGCAATTTGGGAAGTTGAAACAGGAAAATCCCTTGAGCCTAGGAATTTGAGGTCAGCCTGGGGAACATAGGGAGGCACCATCTCTACAAAAAATAAAAATAAATTAGCCAGGTGTGATCCCAGCTATTCAGGAGGCTGAGGTGGGAGGACTGCCTGAGCCTGAGAGGTTAATGCTGCAGTGAGCCATGATTGTGACACTGCACTTCAGCCTGGGCAAAAGAGTGAGACCTTGTGTCAAAAAATAAATAAATAAAAATAAAAAATAAAATAATAAAACCTGCTGGGACAGCTTCAGCTGTCCATCCTTCCTAGGCATAGATCATGCTGCATCAGGACTCTCTTTGCACCATACCCAGACAAATCTCCAGGCATTCAGAGCACCAGCTTGCCTGAATCAGCAGGCTGAGCTTCCCCACCCTTTCTGTGCATAGATCAGGGTGCAGCAGGCCCTCTCCACTCCATGCTTAGGCAGATTTCCAGGTATTCAAAGTACATGTTTGCCCAGATTGACAGCCTGAGCCACCCCACACTTTCTCTGCAGGGATCCAGGTATGCAGAGGAGCCTTTCTGCTTCATGCCTAGGCAGATCTCCCGGCATCTGGAGCACCTAGTCCCCTGGATTAGGAGTTGAGACCACCCCAAATCTGTGTGTAGAGAACTTGAGGACAAGAAGGCTTCCCAGCTCCATGCCTAGGCATACCTCTGGGTGCTTGGTACCCACTCACTGGATTATCCTTCAGCACTGGTGCTCATGGCTGCCCTTAGGGGACCTACCCATATTGCTCCCAACACCTCTGGGGCTGAGGAGGGAGCTCAGAGCACTTTGCACTACAAGAATAAGCCCATTGCCTGAGGCAAGAGAGAGCTTCTGCTAGTAAACAAGGATGAGGTATATACTCAGCAGTATTAGCCATACACACCATCTACAGGCTTGTAGATGGAACTGCATGGCCCAATATAAAACCTGCTGACAGAAAGGTGTAGAGTACACAAGTTAAGCCAAAAGACCTTACCCAGCCTTCTCTAAAGTCACATCCCCTAGGGAAAAATAGATGGGAAAGGGAAAGAAAAAAAATATCAATAATATTATAGGGAAAGAAAAGAAAAATTATATCTGCACAAATATAATTACAAAATTTTGAAGTATCAATGCCTCAAGATGAGAAAGAACCAGTGTAAGAATTCTAGCACCATGAAAATTCAAAATGTAGTAATACCATCAACATACCATACTAGCTCTCCAGCTACGGTCTCCAGAAAAGTGGAAACTTGGAAAGGACAGATAGAGAATTTGAAGTGTGGATTGCAAGGAAGTTCAATAAGATCCAAGACGAGGTTGAAAATTAACACAAAGAAACATTTTAAAGCAATCCAGAAAATGAAGGAAGAGATAAACATCTTTAAAATATCAATCAGGGATTCTGGAATTTAAAAACTAACTTAATTTCAAAATACAACTGGAAGCTTCACCAATAAACTGGACTAAGTAGAAGAAAGAATGTCAGATCTTGAAAACCAGTCTTTTGAATTGACCCAGTCAGAAAAAAATAAAGAAAATGTATTTTTTAAAAAAATGAACAAAGTCTTTGAGAAATATGGGATTACGTAAAGTGACCAAACCTAAAAATTAGTGACATTCCTGAGACTGAGAAAAAGATAACAATCTAGAAAAAAATACTTGAAGTGATAAATCAAGAAAATGTTCCGAATTTTGCTGGAGAGGTAGACATCCAGATACAAGAAATTCAGAGAACGCTTGTGAGATACTATACAAAAAGCAACATGACCAAGGCATATAATCACCAGACTATTCAAGGTCAACGCTAAAGAAAAACATCACAAAGGTAGCTAGAGAAAAAGGTCAGAACACACACAAAGGGAATCCCAAAAGGCTAAAAGCAGACTTCCCTGCATAAACCTTATTTATAAGCTGGGACAGACTGGGGGCCTATTTTCAGAATTCTTGAAGAAAAGAAATTTCAACAAAAATTTCATATCCCACCAGGCTAAGCTTTATCACTGAAAGAGAAACAAAAATATTTTCCAGACAAACAAGCACTAAAAAAATTCATTACCATTAGGCTAGTCTTATCAGAGACTCTTAAGGGAATTCTAAACATGGGGAAAAAATAGCTGACACCTGCTACCACAAAAACACACTTAAGTACAGAGCCCACAGACCTATAGAGCAACCAAACCATAGAAAATACAAAGCAACCAGCTAACAACTTCATGATAGGATCAAAATCTTGCATATTAATATTATCCTTGAATGTGAATAGCCTAAACCCTCCACTTAAAAGGCACAGAGTGGCAAGTTGGATAAAATAAAAATATCCACCAATCTGCTATCTTCAAGATACCCATCTCACACATAATGACATCTAGAAGCTCAAAGTAAAGGGTTGAAGAAATATCTATCTTGCAAACTAAACTACAAAAAAAAGAGGAGTGGCTATTACATTAGATAAAATATATGTATGTTAAAATATATTTAAAATACAATATATAACATAGTATATTAGATAAAATACAGGTATTTTAAAATATATTAAAATATAATATATAATAATATATTAGATTTAAAAGACTTTAAACCAACAACAGTAAAAAAGGACAAAGAAGGGCATTACATAATGATAAAGGGTTAAATTCAACAAAAAGACTTAACTATCCTAAATATGTATGTACCCAACACTGAAGCGTCTCAATTCATAAAACAAGTACTTCTAGATCTGCAAAAAGGCTTAGACAGCCACACAGTAATATGTCACTCCTCACTGACAGTGGTAGATATGTGAAATGTTAGTCAATTAAACCTCTTTTTTTATATATAAACTAGCTAGTCTCAGTATCTTCACAGTAATGTGAAAATGGACTAATACATTTATTTTGGGGTAAACAATGAAATTAAGGCAGTAATCAAAAAATTCTTTGAAAAAAATAGAAATAAGAGACTCAACATATAAAAATCTCTAGGATGCAGCAAAAGTACTGTTAAGAGGAAAGTTTAGGGCAGTAAACTCCTACCTTAAAAATGTTAGAAAGATCTCAAATTAATGATTTAACATCATGCCTAGAGGAGCTAGAAAAACAAGAACCAACCAACCCAAAAGCAAGAACAAACCAACCCAAAAAATTAAAATTAGATGGAACTGAATGAATCTGAGACCTAAAAATTCACAGGAAGAATCAATGAAGACTAAAGTTTTTTTTGTTTTGTTTTTTTGTTTTTTTGTTTTTTTGAAAGAATAAACAGGATCGGTAGACTGCTAGCTAGATTAACACAGAAAAAAAGAGAAAGGATCCAAATAAGCACAGTCAGAAGTTATAACTAAAGTGGCATTGCAACCAATACTACAGAAATACAAAAGAGCCTCAGAAACTATTGGGAACATACCTGTGCATACAAACTAGAAAATCTAGAGGAGAAGATAAATTCTGAAACACACAATCCTCCAAGAATGAATCAGAAAGAAATTGAAACCCTGAACAGACCAATATCGAGTTCCTAAATTAAATCAGTAATAAGACACCCACCACCAACAACAACCAAAAGAGCCCTAGCCAAATTCTACCAAACATACACAGAAGATTTGGTACCAATCCTACTGAAACTATTTCAAAAAATGGAGAAGGAGAGACTCCTCCTTAACTCATTCAACAAAGCCAGCATCATCCTGATAGGAAAACCTAGTAAAGATACGATGAAAAAAATCTCTGATACCAATATCTCTGATAAACATAGATGCAGAAATCCTCAGCAAAATATTAGCAAATTGAATTTAGTGGCACATCAAAAAGTTAATTCACTATGATCAAGTAGGCTTAATTCTTGTAAGAATGGTTTAATATACACAAATCAATAAATGTGATTCACCACATAAACAGAATTAATAAC